GCATCAACCTATCTGAACTAGGCCTATGTGTGACATTGCATCCTGAGGAAAATTGAGGCCTTGAATTGAACATATATGGAGTTAGCTTGCTAGTTGAATGGCCAGTTGCTCTCTTCTCAGACATACATCTTCCAAGGACTGTGCATGGCTCTGTATTTTCATTTTGAGTAATGTCACTGCGGTAGCTTAAAAGAGCAATAGGAGGTTTAGCCATGCTGTTTCCTAACTTAGATATTACATTTTTAAGCTGTGGAAGAGAGCATGCACCAATGTAACACTTCAACTTATAACAGAAGAATTTTGGTATCTCTTTGTCCCATCCTAGAATAAATAATATACAGGGATAAAGAATGTAAACAATGTACATGGATGTAGATTGCCATAAATACTAATATATGTTTATTAATATAGTACTAAGATTATTGATGCAAACCTACCATTGCCTCAAAAGTGTCATTATTCATTCAGTATTGATTGCATACTTGAAATTTGGAAGTAGAAAGTTTATCCAATTTGTTGGCTAGTTGTAATCTACTAAGAAAAGGTAAAGAGAGAACTCAAAAGGGAGGACAGAAAACCATTTGGGCCTGAAGGGGACCAGTGCTCATGTTTGCTTAAATAGAAGTACAATTCTCAGAGTGTACCTTAGTGTAATGTAAGGTCTTAACTTGCACTGACAACTTTACTCCTATTATAGCAAATGTGAGTATAGCTCCTTTTCAGACCTACTTTCTGTATCTATGGAGATAGAAAACAGGTGGCCTAGTTTTGAACTCACCATGTATTCTGGCAAACTTTTGAATGGTGCTTCTGAATATCAGTTCATTGTGTCATTTATGCATTGGTACTGTTCTTTTTTTTTTTTTTTTTGCAATGTAGTCATAAAATGGAGAATGCCCTAGAGAGTGCAGTCATCCCAAAGTTTTTTTAAAGTATTGTTAGTGTACTAGAAAATGTACATTGCTCCTCTAATGCAAATGAGCGACCCTATGGACCAGCTTTAAACTGATCCAACTGGTGCTAATGGGATAAAAGAATTCCCTCCTGAGGCTGAAAAAAATACTTTGAATAGCTGCTCAGGTGTTTACCTTGCAGGACTATCAGCTTAATATACTCTTGCTCCACAAATATGAAGCAGCACAACTTTGAACTAGTTTAGATGTTTTAACTGAAAGAATTGGCTCTCATTTTGAATCTGGAAACAATTTTCTGGCAGAGCATAATGATAGCCAAAAACATGGTGATCTGGTGTCCTGCCAAAGTTGCTAATTACTTTACGTTTAGCGATAGTGGTTTGGAAGTCTACCACTCAAAATTTGGTGCAGCTGAGGAGCAGCTTAGCAGGGAAGGTTTTGTACTGCAGGTATTATGATCAGTGTTTCAGACTATGGTACCTGTTAAATGAACACAAGATGTACAATGGATGACTCTTGATTACTCCCAGATTACTGTTTCCCTCAGTCATTTGGTTAATGTTGAACTGTGGTGGCAAAGACAAAAGAATTGTGTCCTTTGATTTTTGGACTTTAAAAATAAACTTTCAGAACAGAACTGTTAGCCAAAACCATGGGTAATTAAAACATACACTGAATGCTGAAGAATCTAAAAAAATACTGTTCAAAAAGAATCCAGGGTTGAACTTAATATTCTTATATATGCAATTTTAAACCATTACTTTTTTATACTTCACACACTCCCCATTAATATATAGAAAAGTCTGTATATTTTTTCCATTGATTTCAGGAAAATAGCAGGATGTTGCATATTGTATTTTGTTTTAACCTAATATATCTGAAAGAGGAAAAATATTATTAATCAAGGGGCAGACTAGTTAAATGTTAGTTTTGATAAATGTTTTTAAGTGTGTCAGTCAGGAAACTATAAATTGCATCTGTAAAAACAAAATGGGGATTTGTGTACTGTTCCTTTTTTTTTTGAAGATTTGAACTAATATTTATCTCTCGGTGGAACAAAGACCAGTTTTCAAACTCTTTATGTACAAGCTTGTGTGTAAATCTTTATGGACAATACGTGTAAATAGCTGTTTGCAAATGAACCTTCAGCACTTGGCATTTTAAAATAAAAATGACTTCTTAACTTTGTGGTGTTTTATGTCATATCTTCTTGTACTATTCCAAACTTAAAAGTGTTCTTTTGGGGCGCAGGACAGAAGAATCCATTTGATCCAAAATAGTTTTGCTGCAGAAATCAATGCAGTGAATATGGATATAGTGCTACTACCTCATTTAGTATATTGTTGCTGCTTAGCTCAATTGCATCTGTTTTTCATAACTAGTTTTTTTAGTTTACTTTATTGTCTTTGCACCTTGTACAACGAAATCAAACACCATCTTCAGTGCACATCATGACCATGACCACGAAAATAAACATAAACACACATCCTTCACCCTTGACACATTGAACCGGAAACCCCCGACACCACATCAATACTGCACTATACAGCAGAATTCAAAAGAGCTACTGCCCTGGGATAGAAGCTGTTTTTCAGCCTATTTGTTCTTGTTTTTATTATTCTGTACCGTCTGCCAGATGGTAATAGTTCAAAAATGGGGGTTCCCAGGATGAGATGGATCTTGAGAATGTTTTGAACTTTCTTAAGGCAGCGGGAGTTGTAAAGCTCTTCCAAAGAGGGGAGAGGGCAACCAATGATCTTCTGGGCAATGACATTAACCCTCTGGAGTGCTTTCCTATCTGCCACTGCAATTGGCAAGCCATGCAGTATGTTAAAATGCTCTCTATGGTGCAGCGGTAGAAGGTCACCAGCAGTTTTTTATTCAGTTGTTTTCTGAGAAGTCTCAGGTAGTATAATCTCTGCTGAGCCCTTTTGACCAGGGCTGCAATGTGGGTACCCCAGGTCAGATCCTCTTTTAGGGTAATACCCAGAACCTTAAAACTGGCCGCTTGCTCGACTCGGTCTCCATTGATAAGCAAGGGCTGGATGTCTGATCTGTTCCTTCTATAATCCACTAGAAGCTCCTTGGTCTTATTGGTGTTGAGGACCAAGTTATTGTCTCGACACCATAAAAGCAACCGGTCCACCTCATCTCGGTAAGCAGACTCGTTCCCCCCCCCCCGGAGATAAGTCCCACCACTGTTGTATCATCTGCAAATTTAGCAATAGTATTACTGGCATGAGTGGGAATGCAGTCATGCACATAAAGAGTATAGAGTAAGGGACTCACCAGCAACCCTGTAGTGTATCAGTGTTAAGAATAAGGGCTGAAGAGGTATGATTACCTAATCTGGCCCTCTGTGAGCGGGCAGACAGGAAATCCATAATCCAAAGGCAGATTGAATTAGAAAGGCCAAAGTCCAGAAGTTTAGATACTAGTCTATGTGGAAGAATTGTGTTAAATGCAGAACTAAAATCCACAAAAAGCATCCTCATATAGTCCCCCTGCTGTTCTTGATGAGTCAGAGCAGTGTGAAGAGTGATGGCTATAGTGTCCTCTGTAGATCTATTCTGTATGCAAACTGGTGTTTATCAAATGTATGCGGAAGACCAGAAATAATGTGCCAGCAGACCAATTCCTCAAAGCACTTCTTCATGATAGGAGTGAGTGCCACTGGTCTGTAATCATTGAAGTTATTGATAGAGAACTTCTTTGGCAGCGGAACAATGGTGGAAGCCTTCAAACAAGATGGAATAGTGGACTGGGATAAAGACCAATTGAAGATCCTGGTAAAGACTCCAGCCAACTGATCAGCACAGTCTTTAAGCACTCGGCCAGAGATACCATCAAGACTGGCAGCCTTTCTAGGGTCCACAGCCCTCAGAATGCTCCTCACCTCCTGTTCGTCCACAATGAGGTGCGGGTTACAATTGGCTGGTAGTTGTATTTTATCTGTCTCTGATGTCTCCACTTCAAAGCGAGCAAAGAAATGATTCAGTTCCTTTGCCTCAGCAGGGATGATATTGGTCGATTGATGGTTTGTAATTTGTTGAATCCCTCGCCACACCTGCCTCATGTTATTGCTATAAAAATTATCTTCAATCTTCCTCTTATAATCAGTCTTGGCCTTCCGAATACCTTTCTTCAGATTAGCTTTGGCAACACTATATCTTGCCCCATCACCGGACCTAAAGGCCTTGGTCCTGTCATGCAAGAGGCACTGGACTTCCCTGGTCATGCAGGGTTTCTGATTGGTATAGATCCTAATATGTTTATCTACAGTGATAGTATCTGTGCAGTGTTTGATATAGCACAGAACAGTTGCAGGGTGCACCTCTAGGTCAGGGTGGTAAAAGATGTCCCAATTTGTGTTCTCAAACAATCCTGAAGTTGTTGGCAAGCATCTTCTGGCCAAGATTTCACTGCTTTTATTATAGACAGAGCCCGTCTCCTAAGAGGGATGTACGCTGGTGCTAAAAGCAGTGACACATGGTCTGTCCCAAATGTGGTAATTCTATAACCTTATAGCCATGTTTGATGTTGGTATATACTTGTCCAATATGTTTGCTCCTCTAGTAGCACACTTAACATGCTGATAGAATTTAGGGAGCACTTCTTTTAAATCAGCTTGATTAAAGTCCCCCGCTATGATATGCACAGCATCAGGATACTTATTCTGCTGATTACTAACAATGTTATACAAGAATCCCAAAGCTATGGTAGTATTGGTACCGGAGGGACATAGACTGCAGTAATCAAAACCATGCTGAATTCCCATGGAAGATATATGGGTCTACATTTAAGAGTCATATACTCCAGATCCATGGAGCAGTGGCTGTCTACAGTCTTTTATTGATACACCAGCTAATTTGCCAGCACATAAAAGCTTAAACCTCCCCCTTTGATCTTGCCAGAATCTCTACTCCTGTCCTGCCGGTGAGCTATGTAGCCTTCCAGCTCAACAGCTGCATCTGGAATGAGTGAATGAAGCCAAGTTTCTGTGATTAGCAAAACAGCAGTTCTTGATGAATTTAGTTTTTGCAATCTGTAGCCTTAATTCATCAATTTTGTTAGTCAGAGATCTTGCATTGGTAAGAAATATACTTGGAATTGAAGGCTTGTGTGGAAACTTACTCAGCCTAAAGAAAACCCCAGCACAGCATCCTCTCTTCCTCTTTCTCCGCCTCTTCCTCCTTGCTACAGGGATAGTGATCAATGGCTCCCCCAGAAGCCTAGCTGCCTCCTTCGGTATGTTATGAGAATGTATAAAATCGTCATTTTCACATTTCAGTCCAATTTGTAACAAGGCTTGCCGACTATAGATACTCCTTGCCCCACAGGATTCAATCAAGGAAAGGATCCAAAACACACAGAATCATACACACCATACACTGAAAGAAGGAGTGGTTAGCCACAGCATCCATATGCACAGCCATCTTGAAAACCGTTTAGCAAATTTTTAGCTAAAAACTAACTAATCATCATCATGTATGAGTCAAATTGCCTGTGTTTTAAACTATCAGTTATATTTATTCATGATCTGTAACATTACATAATATAAAATTTAATGCCAGTTTTAATGTGGGCTCTTATTTTCACTTTATATTATCTTAACTGCAAAATTCACGCTTTTAAAGGTGTATTTATAATTTAATAATTCGAATCTCTGCACCAATATTTATCATTATTACTGCAAGCTATTATGTGACATCCAATGGACATTTATGAACAGTAATTTTATACCTGTTGAGTGGAGTGTGATTTTACTTTACTGTTTAACAGCAACAAACTCTTGAAGAGTTTTAGGTTGCTGATTTTTTTTCTTCAACTATCTATTACAATGTTCAGCAAGAGGTTTAGACTGGCTTTGACATTTTTTACCCAACTGTTGAGTTTTTCTCAAGGACCTGAGATGGTCCAATATTTCATGATGTCAAACGTATTGTCACAGAATGGAAGTTGTTCCAAGTAAAGCTGCCTTTTGCAATTGACTAATAAGTGATTTCATATGCATCGAGCTCTTTCTTAGAATTTAGGATGCTTTAAAATATCAGTGCAGTATATGTGGAAATCAAAGCAGTGTGACCTTTGCTAATTGAACAGATGGGGATTTTGTCCACAGCTGGTTTATGCCATAATCTTTCAGTTTTAACTTTCAGATTTTGATACTATTTTCTCCAATTCTTTGCCTTCTATCCTATTCCCCCCTGGGATTACCAAATCAATTATCCACACTTTTTCCTTTTCAATCAGAGTTAAATCAGGTATGTTACAAGCTAAGACTATAAAATTTGTCTTCTGAGATCTCACAATATTTTATCCTGCCCATTTTGACTACTTTTTCAACTTTATGTTCTCACCAATTTTTCATTATTGCCACATGCTAATTTTAATGGATGATCTAGTGCAGGGCTGTCGAACTAAACAACCCTTGGGCTGGATGCATCATGCACTGGCCATGCCTACGCCTGATTTAGCGAAGGGAAAAAGTTGTGATACATCACATGATGCCACTGTGACAACACAACTTTGACACTCCTGGTCTAGTTAATCATTTTGGAAACTGCATTATGTTAGTGGGTCCTTTTGTATCTGATACATTTTTGCCACTTATTAACTAATCACCAATGCAATATTGACGCAATATTTCATTAAGCTGTTTAAATATAATTGGATGTAAGCTGATCAGATATTTGAGTCAAATGCCATGCAACTGAACATTTCTAGGAGATGGTTTAATCATATTCACTCAGTTTTTAATCGTTTCTATTATTGGTCTTGAGGTCTCCGAAATGTTCCTTTTTGTTTGGATTTCCATTTTCAGTATTTTCATTGCCATTTATACTTTGGAAGAATCGCCTCTGGTCTGATTCAACAACCAATATTGCTTAAATTGAATGATTCATACTTCAGTGCTCAATTTTTCCAGCTATTGCTGTTATTTTCAAAGTTTCTTCAGTTTTTCTAGTACTAAGCCAATATTTTTAATTAGGCATGTGTTGATCTTTACAAGGTTCGGTGTTTGCTCTTTTTAAAAAAATTACTTGCATCTGATGTTCTACATTGGGATTGAATATGATTTTGCATTTGATTTTCTAATTTCAATACCCAGTTCTGTAATCACCACTGCTCTAGTGCAGGGAAGCTGATAGGTCTGTTGACAATAATCATTACAAGTGCCTTATTTACATCCTTCATTGTAGGTATTGTCTTTTGGGGGCACTACCAGTGCTGGCAGTATTGTCTTTCTGTTTTCAGCATATGCCGTAATTTTTTTCTTTTAATTCTTCTTGGGTGATCAATTCATGGATTCTTCTAGTACTGGCCTGTAGCGGTTCTGTTGTTCTTACTTCTAAGTTATTTCTATAGATCCTATCCGCTTTTCCCTTATATTTGTAATTGTTAACTGAATTTATTCTACTATTGTTTTAGGGTCTTCCATTTTTCACATTTCCATTTTTTTCTGATGATGATGATGAATTAATTAATTATGGTTATCACAGTTAGCCAGATGATCAGGCTGGGGTTGACATTTTGGTTTACCTATTGAGTCCTTTTCAAGGACCTGGGATAGGCAGATCTGGATGTTTGCTGGTGTTACAGATATTGCCGTCTACAACTTGTATCTGAGCTTGGATAGTTATTTTAAATCAAGTAACTGCAAAATATTACACAGTAAAACATTTCTTATTGGTTTATAAATTAATACATTGAATTAAAATAATTTAATACCTTTATGAAAATTTGACTCGACTGATTTCTATAAAACAGGTAAAGTAACTTTTTATTTGAAGAATTATTGCTTCTAGACTTTCCTGAAGCCAGAATTGTTCTATAAAAGTACTGCAGAAAATTCTTACATAAAACAGTTTGTAACCTAATGAAATCTATATAAAAATAGCATCATTCACATCCTTAAATAAATTTGTTCTGCCATTCAGTTTGAGATATGTAAATGATAAATATCCATGTTTACAGAATCTACTAAAAGCTTTGCATGGAAATTACTGAAATGCCTTCAAACAATAAGTAAATGTTACATAAACTATAATACAACAAGGAGCACATAACTGAATATTAATACATAAATATATCAAGACAATTGTGTCTGACAGAGAAAATGGAGCAAACAATTGCAAGTTTGTATATAAATGGCAAAAAGAGTAAGTAGATTAATTTGTGTTCCTTGATAAAAGGTCCAATAACTGAATGAAGCTATTTTTTAAGATCTGCAGATGGTGGTAGAAAATGTATGCTGTATGGAATGAATGTCAGAAGAACCAAGAATGGCTGTATATGAGAATGTGCATTGTTATTTGGAAATAAGGAAAACTAGGAGTAATCTAACCACAAATTGAAATTGGGAATTGAGGAACTGTGTGAGGAAAAAGAATGAAAGAAAAGGTAAAAAGTTAATATATTCTGTATGTGGATTGAATGCAAAAATATGAGTAAACAATCTGGAACAACATTGGAATTTGGCTACTGTATGTATGGCGTATTAATGACAAATTTCAAAACAGAAGTATGAAGGAAGAGTGAATGCGTTGAAAGGAAACAGGAGGCTAAGATCATTACTGGAGTTAAATTCCTCGAAAAGGAACAGTGAGAAATTTAAAAACCAAAAGTCAGTATGGGATCCCGCATATGGATTTACTGGAAAGTGTATAAACTACACTTAACTATCTTCCTCTGTATTAGGACTTTAATTCCATTGGTTTACTTTTTGAGCTTTGTATGCTCTTGGTTATTGCAAAAGGTTATGTTTGCATGCATTTAAAAAACTGTTAACAACATGGAATATTTGACTGTTTATCTGGTATTTCACGATTAAAGCCAATTCTATGTCAACCTTGTTTCTATAAATTATTTCTAAAATGTTACTTTCTACAAATCTTGTAACTAAGAAAACTAAGAACTAATCTTTATTCTGAAGGTTATGAAGGGGTTGTTTCTTTAAAAAAACACACCAAAGCCCACATTTTGGAGCAATCTTCTAAGTCATTTAGCTACCTTCACACAATTCCAGATGACGGTATCTATTTTTTCGTGCTCAGATGCTATATTCTAAAGCACTTTAATAAACCAATATATGCAAACTTCACTGATGTTTCTGTGAGAAGCATTCCTTTCCTTGATTCTGGGGAAGAGTGGAGAAGCACTTTTGCAAATAACATTATTCTCTGTGTACAGGACCTTGCTGTTTAAAAGGTATACCTACAATCCAGTATTCTGTATGGCTACATATGGCAATGCAATTGTGCAGTATTACATTAGATTGTGTTTAAAAGGGGGGATGTGTTGCTGTTCTGCAAGTGTACCAATATGCAATATACTGGTAATATATAGCATATTTGTATACAGAACCTTTCTTTGGACTAGATTTTATTCTAAAATGATTAGAACAGCTGTGACTATATTAAGACCTGTTGCAAAGTGGAAATCAAATTTTCCTGAAAAAATAAAAATCTTAATAACAATTTAGTCCCTATCTACTGGAAAATTAACTCTCTTTAACTCTTTCTGTTAAGTTTCCTGTTTATTATATCTAAGAAAAAGGTTACTGTGAATTGATTGGAACATAAAGATTTTAAATCAAACATGAAAATCTGTTCAATAAAGCAATTGCTTTTTACAATCCATGTAAATAATATATTCTCTATCAACTTATTTTATTGTTTTGCAAATTACATTCCATTAGCAAAACTAAGAACATGTAGACAAGTCAGATTAATAAAGACTGGCACGAAGATTACAAAAGGGCATGTACATTTACTTTGACAATATGAAATTTCAATGGTTCAAATTAATAAAAATTACCGAAATATGGGATAAGAATATTTGTTATGAGAATAGAAAAACAAACTTATTTCCTTTGAAGGTGCATTTACACTACTTTAAAAATAGGGCTCTACTAAAAGAAGTCACAGCGGTACCTTTTTAATTCTCAGATTTTAGTACCTGCAGCCACATTGACAAGAATGTGTAATGTAAAATATACACTATTTGGCTGTTTTGTTGTTCTATTTGCCAGCTAATTAATAGTACCTGACTTGCTAACACAGCCTAATTTGAAGGGATTGGATTTGAAGCACTGCCTTCATTCAGAAACTGAGATTTCTGGAAACTTTCCCTTGTTCTCAACATTTCAGTTTTATGTTGTAGAACAAGCGTATTTAAAGCCCAGCTGATTGTTTTTGCACCGGAGTTCATGGGAAGGTAGACTGGCTCTTCAAAAATACCTTGTGCAAAATCTTTGTCTGTCATAGAGGCTTTCTGAATAATGTTAATTGGTTGCAAGATGAAGCTGTGTCTGGACTCCAGTTCTGTCAAATCATTCCCACTAAAATCCATTTCTGAATGAATTGGTTCTTCAATCTTCAGCCATGTTTTGGCTTGGTGGACATTTGTACTCTTTTTTGCAGGAATATCATTACTTAATTCAAGTCTGCCATCCTTGCTTGACACTACTGTGCTCAAGGTCAGGTCTCCATAATATTTTGGGATGATAGGTTGAGCCTCTAGGGTTGTCAACCCACTCGAACCTTCATCTATTTCAGCAGAGCTCATTCCCAACAAGGAAAATGATGTGGAAGATTCATCCAAGTCTCCACTGGTATTAAAAGTGGGAGTCTCTGCTCTTTGATTTTGCTTAGAGTAACTGTTCAGCAGTGCAAAGATTCTATCTACATCCTTCAAGTAATTTCTCCAGTCTTCAGAATGAATGCTGTAGTTGTTTCTGGCTTCATACAAACTTTCATTCACACTGTACAAATCTTTCAGTCCTTGCCAGTTGATGCTTTCTGTAAAATTTGGGAGCTTAGCCTTCCCATCCATGCCATAAGTGTCCTCTGTTAAAAAGAAAAAAAAAGGAAACAGTAATACTTGTAATATTAGAAATCAATCATGTGTAGCTTAGTTTGGATCTGATTCAAATTATTTTGGTTCAAATCATAATTTAATTTGGAAAGTCAAATCTGTTCCATTTGGCACTGCAATCTGATTTTCCAAATTGATTCAAGACTATCTAACTTGGTTGTTGATTCAAAGTGATTCATAGATCCAACTGAAAAACCAATGATTTGAATTAAATATCAGTCTAATCTTTGCACAACCCTATTTAATAATTGCCATCTTCTCAATTGAGTAGCACAATATAGGAAAATCCTTACATGCTATGATCTCTTTTTCATAATTTTAGTATATTGGTTGCAATAAGAAAATACCAGCTCTTTTCATTTTAGGCTCAAGTGTGAAGATGAGTGGGTTAATACCAGGCAGCAACATTCTCTTGCATTTGTTCATAGCAGGTCCCATTAAATATGATGAAAGTGAATTTGCTTTAGAAATTCTTCCAAAAAAAGAAAAGTATTACAGAAATACTTGTGTGGATTTCTTGCTGTTATAGTGATTGACATTTAGTTGCAAGATAGCCAAAGCATATGTATGAATAGTCTTTCATTATATACTCATTTCTCCATGGCTTAATTAAATCTCAGGGGATCATAAGAAAGCTCCTTTTATTGGAGAATACTTCTAATTTGATGTTACCAAATCCTTGCAATGCATAGGGTGTATAACAATATGGTCAAATATAGTGCAATAGTTATATCTTTAAACAAAGCATGCTGTATGTAGTTAATAACAAAAACAAAAAACAATTTCTAAGCAGTAAATAAGTTGGTAAATGTATTGAACAATGCTTTTCTTGGCTATATTAACCTAGTTTTGCTTTAAAAGTGTCCAACCTCTCTGCACAAAATTGGAAAAGCTATTGTTGCCCAGCTTCAGAAAAAGAATGACCACATCTTCTAATCCTGTACCTTTCAAATGGATTGAGCTACAATGACTGTCAATAATGGGATCCATGTTAGAATATACAGGTGAAACTCAAAAAATTAGAATATCGTGCAAAAGTTCATTTATTTCAGTAATGCAACTTAAAAGGTGAAATTAATATATGAGAAAGATTCATTACATGCAAAGCAAGATAGTTCAAGCTGTGATTTGTCATAATTGTGATGATTATGGCTTACAGCTCATGAAAACCCCAAATCCACAATCTCAGAAAATTAGAATATTGTGAAAAGGTTAAATATTCTAGGCTCAAAGTGTCCCACTCTAACCAGCTAATGAAGCCATAACACCTGCAAAGGGTTCCTGAGCCTTTAAATGGTCTCTAAGTCTGGTTCAGTAGGAACCACAATCATGAGAAAGACTGCTGACCTGACAGTTGTGCAGAAAACCATCATTGACACACTCCATAAGGAGGGAAAGCCTCAAAAGGTAATTGCAAAAGAAGTTGGATGTTCCCAAAGTGCTGTATCAAAGCACATTAATACAAAGTTATGTGGAAGGGAAAAGTGTGGAAGAAAAAGGTGCACAAGCAGGAGGGATGACCGCAGCCTGGAGAGGATTGTCAGGAAAAGGCCATTCAAAAGTGTTGGGGACTTTCACAAGGAGTAGACTGAGGCTGGAGTCAGTGCATCAAAAGCCACCACACAGACGGATCCTGGACATGGGCTTCAAATGTCGTATTCCTCTTCTCAAGCCGCTCCTGAACAACAAACGTCAGAAGCGTCTTACCTGGGCTAAAGAAAAACAGAACTGGTCTGTTGCTCAGTGGTCCAAAGTCCTCTTTTCTGATGAGAGCAATTTTTGCATCTCATTTGGAAACCAAGGACCCAGAGTCTGGAGGAAGAATGGAGAGGCACACGGTGTAAGATGCTTGAAGTCCAGTGTGAAGTTTCCACAGTCTGTGTTGATTTGGGGAGCCATGTCATTTGCTGGTGTTGGTCCACTGTGCTTCATTAAGCCCAGGGTCAACACAGCCGTCTACCAGGAGATTATGGAGCACTTCATGTTTCCTTCTACAGACGAGCTTTATGGGGATGCTGACTTCATTTTACAGCAGGACTTGGCACCTGCCCACACTGCCAAAAGCACCAAAACCTGGTTCAATGACCATGGGATTACTGTGCTTGATTGGCCAGCAAACTCGCCTGACCTGAACCCCATAGAGAATCTATGAGGCATTGCCAAGAGAAGGATGAGTGACATGAGTCCAAACAATACAGAAGAGCTGAACACTGCTATTGAAGCATCCTGGTCTTCCATAACACCTCAGCAGTGCCACAGGCTGATAGCTTCCATGCCATGCCGCACTGAGGCAGTAATTGCTGAAAAAGGGGCCCAAACTAAGTACTGAGTACATATGCATGCTTATACTTTTCAGAGGTCCGATATTGTTCTATGTACAATCCTTGTTTTATTGATTGCATGTAATATTCTAATTTTCTGAGATTATGGATTTGTGATTTTCATGAGCTGTAAGCCATAATCATCTCAATTATGACAAATCACGGCTTGAACTATCTTGCTTTGCATGTAATGAGTCTATCTCATATATTAGTTTCACCTTTTAAGTTGCATTACTGAAATAAATGAACTTTTGCACGATATTCTAATTTTTCGAGCTTCACCTGTACATGGAGAAAAATAGGTTAAGACGAACATAACAGGTATTTTTCAATCAAAAGCACACATTTGAAAATTTCAGGAAGGTTCTCATGCAAAGGATAATAATTGATACCAAGAGTTGTTTTATTTCCGTGTTATTATAATTGTTATAAAAAGAAATACTTTTGTGGAGGCAATAAGACGCTTCCAAGATCAGAGGGCGGAGCTGGCGTCACGACGATACGGCATGCGATCTTGGAGGTCTGAGATCGCTGCCAATATCTTTGCTCCAGGACGGCCCAATCGGATCTAAACCGTCCCAAAGAGGTGGTGAATGTAAAGAGCACATCCTGTCGATCCCAGGGATACCGCAAAGTCCCTGGTAGATCCAGGAGAAGCTCTTTTTACCAGCAGCAAAGAGGCAGCCATTAAAGCTGCTGAAGTTGGGACAGCTCCGAAACAAAAGAGAACGGAAAGAGAAAGTGTGCCGGTTTGGTGAGAACTTTTTCTTTACTTTAAGATTTGAAAGGACACCCTAAGGAAAAGAAAGAATCTGTAAAAGTTTTGACAGAAGTGATTATGCAGCGATTTTAAACAGGAAGTCAAAGTAATTTTTTTCCCCTCATTGCTGGATTTTCTACACATGATTTTATATTTTGAAACTGGACTGGTTTTTTTTTCTTCCACCTATTCTTTCTCTCCTTTTTGACTTTATAATATTCTAGGCTAGAGACTCTCCTTTAGTCATCTTTTTAAATATCTTTTCCCTTTTTAATTAATTTTTATTATCTTGTTTGGAAAAGAAGGGGGAAAGTGAAAGCAGAAGAAACTTTGTAACACTGCCAACTAGAGGCTTGGAAATATTCTATCTCTTTTTTTCTTGACCAGACAAAGCTGAGAAAGAACTGAGACTTCTTTTCGGGGACATTGCTGTTTGATAAGATAGAGGGAAGAGCATGGGAGACTATTATTGCAGGTGCTCTTCTGGGTTTCTATTAATAGCTGGAGTCTGAAGTTTATAGGAAAAAAAAGGTGATAAGACTCTGGAGAAGAGAGTTATAAATTTTAACAAAAGCCTTGGATAACCAAACAAGGTGCAGTGTGCTCTTTTTATTTTTTTTAAGCTGGGCTATTTCTTACTTTAACAAACCCCCTCCTTACTAGCGTACTTTTTGTAATAGCTATTTGGATTTTTGGCCTTTTGGAACTTGTTTTTGTCTTTCTTTTTGTCTTTTGAAGTCTAATTTTTACGTTTGCATTTTATTTTAAAGGAAAAGCTTTGGTATTAATGATTTCCTTCCTTTTTTTCTTTTTAAGGGAGTAGTCTCTTTTCTTTTTTCTCTCTCCCTCCCTTGTATTTTTTTTCTATTTACCTTCCATATTGGCTTTTTTTTTTAATTTTTGTGGCTTTCTTTCTTTTCTTATGCATCCTTTTATACCTGAGACCTTTTAATTGGATTAAGGTGTTGAAGAACCTGAAGAACTTTTCTTTTCTCTTCTTTAGTTTTTTATTTTTTGCTTTTCCGCCTTTTTCAGGATTTAACAATTTTTTTCTTTTTTTGTGTGTTTATGGTCTTTTCTTCCATTTTTGAGTTTTTACTGCTATCTAACCAATCGATTGGATTAAGGTATACAAGAACCTGAAGAAATTGTATTATTATTATTATTGTTACTATTTGGTTTCTTTCCCCCCACTATTTTTACTTGGAATTACAATTGGTTATTTCACAAGTGGATTAAGGTCTAGAAGAACCTGAAGATTTTGAATTGTCTGAAATGAGTAGGAAACTAACAGCCCCTGGTTCGTCAACTTCTACTTCTTCCTCTTCACCATCTAGAGGACAACGTTCAATACAGACGATGTTACAGCAAGAAAAAGAACAGGAAAAAGTGACCCTGCAGATGATTATGTAAGGAATTCAAAATATTGAAATAAGAACAGAGAATATTGAAAAGAGAACAGAGAACATTGAACAAAGAACAGGAAAAACTGATGAAAAGGTGGAGAACATTCAACAAATGATGATGAAACATGATGAGAGATTCCAAAAAATTGAAGAAGATAAACAAAGAGATAAGAAGATTGGAGATATTGATAGCAGATTAACTGTGGTTGAACAAGATAAAAGTGGGATGTTGAGATGGGAGATGGACAGATCAGAATTTTATCTTAGATTCCAAAACATAGAGGAAGAAAAGGGACAAAACCTAGCTGAGGCAATGATAGAAATTTTGGCTGAAGCTTTGGAAATAACTAAAGAGAAGATGATGAATGGAGTAGATGAGGTTTATCGAGTCTTTACAAGATATGCAATGAGAAATAGCTTACCAAGCGAAGTTCACATCAGATTTACAAAGAAAGCCATTAAAATGCAAATATTGCAAGTGGCAA